TCTCGTTCTCCCTCACTTTTCTCACGGCCTTCGCGTGGAATTCTATTTTCCTTTCTAATCCCGGTGCCGATTTTCTTCCTCCCTCTCTCTCTCTCTCTCTCTCTCTCTCTCTCTCTCTCTCTTCCGTCTCTTTGTTCTAATTTTTGTGCACTGTGAAGCCCGTTTCTCTCTATAGAAACAACGGGATGGTTTTTATCCCCACTCACGTATTTTCTCCTTTCCGCATTTTCCCCCTGTTTTTCCATTTTTGTGCTTGCCTATTGCTCCGTTTCGTCTGCTTGTTTTTTAAATTTCTGCCAACCATTTCTTCTCTTTGGAATGCCTAGTGATTGTTCATTGTCAGCCGGGGAAGTGTTCTATTTTTTTTTCCAAGCCTGACAAAGTCCAAGAAGTGCATGTTGATTTCTTGGATCGTTAGTAAAGTGGTAAAGGATGTTAGTGAATGAAAAACACGGTCTTTTGTTGGCTCCTGGAAAGAGCTTTTCTTTTTGCAAGATGACCTAACAATTACGTATTAATTACCCGTCATTGTTGTTGCCTGATGTTGCTGACGTTTCTGGTGTTTGTGTAAAAGGGCATGCGTGACTGCAATTACGGCCTCACTCACTCAAGAAATTCCCAGTGTGAGTACGCCCTAACAGTTGTTGGTAATAACAACCGCCATTGCGTCTCCGGCAACTGAGGTAAGTGGTGTCGGCTTTTAAAATTATTTTTTGGGTACTGTTCAACAATTGGATCTGTTGGTAAGCTTCTGTCCAGGGTCACGCGTTCAAGCGCGCAATTCTCCAATTCTCACGTAGGTGTGGTCCTGACGCACTCCTGTCCCAGGCGGTGATTTAGTGGCTGGAAGTATACGTTGACCACGTGGACGTGCAAATGGATAAGGAATTATCATGTGGCAGTAGGATGTGCACGTACTTCCTTCTTCCCCGGAATACAACGTATGGTCATTATAGCTGCATTTGGGGTATCTTTCAGTCTAAATACAGCTATAATGGCCGTAAGTTGTATTCGGGGGAAGAAGGTAGTCATTCCTCCGGTCGACACGTGGCAGTTGCGGCGGAGAGACCTCGTGCGGGAAGGATATTGAATACTCCGTCGAGCAACAGTAATAGTCAGTCGATCAATGAATGAATCGACAGATTTGTCTATAATTGAGTCGATACTACGCGATAAGGCCATACTCACACGTGGACTTTCTTGGACGCACCTGAGCGCTTTTCTGGTCTGACCGGGATGCACCTGACCGCAATCACGTCCACAGGTAAGTTGAAAAAGTCATGTCCTGAGTCTTCCAGGGATGACGTTGTCATTGGGAGATGCAGAGCGTCGCTCCACTACACAGCCTTTGTAGTGTATATGCAGCTGCAAATGGTCCCGGTACATTTAATATGTGGGGTCTGTCCAAACGTATCTGGTCCATTAATTGTCCAGATACATGCGTATTATATTGTGGTGGAGTGATGCCCATACATGGCGATCGAAATTAAAAGTCAACAATGGATTTTTGGACTCGATGAGTCGTCTTTGAGAGATGACGCTGTCATTGACAGATACACACAGCTCGTGATACCCTTAGCTAGGGCTATATATAGCTTCGAGGAAAGGGGGGGGGGGGGGGGGGGGGGGGGGGGCGGGGGAGGCCGGGGGGAGGGGGGGGGGGGACGATAGTGGAGTAAGGGCGGGGTGGGGGGGGACAGAATATTAAATGCAAATCGATCGAAAGATCTCTATAGAGCATACTCGCAGCAGGTTATTTGGTGGATGCATCTTATTAGCTCTTCTGTGGGCAGATTCAACGGAAAACGTTCAAGCAAGACTACGGTAGACCCTTGAAAGATATTTACATTCTGTCTGAATACAAGTCAAAATTGTATCTGGCCAATTTTTCTGCGGAACTAAATTGATGACCACGTCGTGTTAATTTATGCTATTGGGTTACGACCGAGGGCACGGCGAACAAATTAGGCCTCGGTGACACGACACAGCGTTCTAAATATACCTGGAATGTGATGCGCTGTATATTCATTCGGACTGATTAAATATTTTGACTGCACAGAGACCGATCGCCTGCCCAGATACGCATATGGAATGTGATCGCGCACCCATCTACTAAAGAATGGCGATTGTCTGTCCACCTTTTGTTTATTGCTCCTCTTCGTAAAAGGGCAACGGCCTTGCGCTGTCGTCATTGGACCGACCGGGGGCCATGCCCCACCACACAACATTCGAAATGCATCTTGTGCTGGTAATGGTCCCGATACATACAGAATGCTGGAGCAATTGGAATGTAAACAGTACAGGTATATGTCTAATGTTTGAGTAGTGGAGCCAGGCCCCGGGGATCATGTCCCGCTACCGGGGGTTTAGTTTGGTTCTCGAGTACTTAGGGGGTAGCTCTATTTTGGATGTATCGGACCGCATTTACGGCCAGGCCTCCATGAATCTGATCGCAGTCACGTCCAAGAAAAAGTCCTAATTGTGTGTATGCCCTCCCTCTTCATCAACATGGCCACAGTGCCGCGGTGAGTTTGCTGATTGGATGGCACAGAACCGTGCATACTTGAAAGTACGTTCGAACTCCTGTTAATAGTGCATCGGCCCGGCTCGTGCATGGGCCCGGCCCCACTAGCAAAGAGTATTGGATTCAACGTCCGAATTTCGACGTATTTGTGGTCAGGTGGGGGAAATGGCCTTCGATCTGTGTTCTACATCTCTGCATGTAACACATCCAGATTCGGTCTCTATTTCCATTCTTCTTTGGTCGTGGGACCTGGCCCCAGGTAATTCGGTGTTTTGAATGTAATCCTGTGTTCCCGGCCTATCAGGAAACATCATTCAGCCATATGGGCTGGCCGGGTTCTTTCCACCTTCTTCTAGGCGAGAAGATGCACTTGCCATTTTTTCAACATTTGGTGGGGAGTGCAGCGAGGCCCTTAGTAGGCCATGCAAGCACATCATCACCAAATGTGTCTCTGGACGTGCAGTTGGTTCTGATGCATTGAGGGCCTCGCTCTACTCCCCATAACATTTGATGAGGATCAAGGAGTGGGGCTTTGCTCAGGGCTGCTTTGGTGCTCGCTCCTCTGCACAGCGCTCCGAATGTATCTGGACGTATGGTTGGTTCACATGCCTTCAGGACGTTGGGGCAGTTCGAATGTATGTTGCTGATGTTTCAACCCAGGTACATATCGAATGTTGTCTAGTGGATTGAGGCCCTTTTTTGGGGGGTGTAACTATGGTGCAGTCATGAAAACAGTTTGAAAATGCACTTCAGGCATTCCCCCAACATAACACACCCCATGCGGCCCTTCTCGACCCGAACCTGGCTTGTATACATTTGACATTTTCAGACCTTTTGCCTGAAGTGCAGTCATGAAAACAGTTCCCGGGTCCGCAATGCCTGATCACCCTGCATCATCCTGATGAGGGGCTGATACAAGCCTTGCTCTCCCACCACAGCTGTGGTGCAAACCTACCCCGTGGGCTGGGGAGAGTTCCAGGTTTGGTTGGTGTTTCCCCGTACTATACATAGAGTAGCGAGAGGTGGGCCATCCGCGGGCCTACTGGCCCCACGGCCCGGATGGTTGGTGTTTCCCCGTACTATACATAGAGTAGCGAGAGGTGGGCCATCCGTGGACATACTGGCCCCACGGCCCGGATTGCCCCGCGATCTTGCGATTGTCGCAGGGAACGGCCTGGAATGGGTAATCCGGGTCGTCGGGCCGGGAACGGTCTGGATCGTCGCGCGATCTTTGGACAACCGGGGGCTGGGTCCCACCAGCATTGTGTAATTGTAAATATTTACAACTGTGCGACGACAATCCGTTGGCGGAAATCGCAGAATTCGATGGAGTTGGTAGTAGAGTCATGATGACGTATTTTAGGGTTTGTGTATCTGCCGTGTTTGGCGACAGTCTGACATCATGATGACGTATTTTAGGGTTTGTGTATCTGCCGTGTTTGGCGACAGTCTGACACCATGATGACGTATTTTAGGGTTTGTGTATCTACCGTGTTTGGCGACAGTCTGACATCATGATGATGTATTTTAGGGTTTTTGTATCTGCCGTGTTTGGCGACAGTCTGACATCGTGGCGGTGCAGTAACTGCAGTATGAGCGCGTATGGTGTGTCCAGGTTAAGCAGGGTTAGGCTGTATGCACCTGGTATGCAAATGTGTAATATTTGCATATTTTTCATAATTACCGGTGACTGTTTCAGGTAGTCGGAGAGGGAGAAAAAAAAAAGAAAGGTTTCATTTCATTGGTGCACCGCAGGAGGTACACGGGTGGGTACCCAGTGTGTGTGTGTTTGTTAGCGGACGGCAGGTGTTGTATTTGTATTCTACGAATGAGCCTGGCTACATAGTTGGTACCTGGGGCCAGGTCCCAATAGCAGCATTCTGTCTCAGTACGTGCTTGAGGAGATATGCAGAAATCGGGTCGAGTTTCTTCAACCGCATATCTCCACAAAACGTCCAGATTCAGGCGTTGCAGACTGGGCCCGTGGCAGTTCTCGCGTTGTTCTATATTCTTGACCGCCCATTGTAGCGGGGATAGGCAGATCCGTGGCCACAAAAGAAGAACAACATGTTCTGGAACTTCGGGAGGTTTAGTGCGGATGGATATGTGCCCACGTAAATAAGATGAGAGACTATAGGGCCAGGTCCCACTAGCAGCGTTGTGTTTCCTCCATGGCCGAATCTGGACGTGTTTATGGGGAAGTGCGGTTTTGGAAACTCTATGCGATTTTTTGCACATATCCACAAACACGTCCAGTCGAAGGCCTTTAGGAATCTGGCTGGTAGTGGGACTTGGCCCCTTTGAATACTAGCCATGTTCAGGCTCAGGCTCGAGTGTGTACCTCAACAGTTGATGGTTGCAGTAGTTGATGTAGGCCCGTTGGTCGCTGTGCTATTTGAGGGGCACGGTCCCAGATGCGAAGAGGCTTGGAGTAAAGGGTTACAGTGTGATCCCGCTTTCAGAACAGGTGCAAAAACAGACTTGCTGATATTTGTTTTTTCAGTGTGTGTGCACAAAAAAAGCATTGAAGGGACACACACACACACACACACACACACTTTTCATTCCAATCCTTAGAGGCTATGCGGAGAGGAGCAGTCCACGCTTCCATATGAACTCGCAGTCCATGGTGCAGAATGAAAGGTTTCATCGTTTATAGATCGCAATTTCGGATCCATACGGGGTAAGGGTGTTGCCTACTGTCCTCGTCGCCCAGCAGGGGATATTCCCGCTACCTGTGATGGTTGACGACATCAAAGGCTAGTTTGTGACTCTATGCTTTTGATCATGCCTTCGGTTTATGGCGAAGATGATGCCCCGCAAGTGTGGTTTCGGGTTCTGGGCCACGTGTCTGGCTTTATAGACGTCGTGTCTGGGCTGCCTGGGGCTTCGAATCTCGTTCCATTCATGGACGGCAGCTGTGTTCTGTACGGGTTTTAGGGTATTTAATTATGTTATCTTTTTTGCTACAGCCGGGCCGCCCGGGTCCCGGGTGGCCACAGCCCATGCAAGGACCAGGGAAGGTCCCCGCTAAAAAGAAAAATAAAAAAATCCAAAAAATCCGAAACAAAACTATGTTATGCAGAAAAATAAACTGAACAACTTTTTGCCTCAGGGTCAGAACGAAATTCTTCACCAAATTTAGTTAAAAATGATTTTTTATTTTTATTTTTTTTGGCCCGGCCGGGCAAGTGACCCCGGGACCCACTCTGGTAGCCTAGGTCACACTACCTACCTACCACTACTAATTGTAGGCATATGGGGAACCCCGTGGCAGCCAGAACCGTGTTCACGAGAGAACATGCGGGGGCTGCTCCCGACCTGCAGGTGGGCGATACTGGCTAGGGGACATCCGGTAGTATCAGGGACCATGCCAACAGGACCAATCCCTGTGCCTCCCATCAGGTCCCCTCCCCTACGAACATCAGCAGACTTTGTGCAAGCGTTGTTGTTGTTGTTGTATAAATTGTATATACAAGTGGACGTGCGACGCTGCGGCAGAGGAGAGGGACGAACAGGGGGGCGGGGCTGTTGTTGTGACACTGCTCGTTTTTTTTTTGTTTTTTGTTTTTTTTTGTTTTTTTTGGCATCATATTCGCTATACACTCAAAAAAAACATGACTGTGGCAGACTGTTTCTGAGTGATCAGGAGGTTGTGTGTGTGTGTGTGTGTGTGTGTGTGTGTGTGTGTGTGTGTGTGTGAGAGAGAGAGAGAGAGAGAGAGAGAGAGAGTCTCTCTCTCTCTCTCATCCCATCGATGGAAGTATGCTCTCTCTATCTGTCTGCGTGCATGGCTGGAAAACTCTCTCTCTCTCTCTCTCTCTCTGTGTCTCTCCTATCCTATCGATGGAAGTAGCCTCTCTCTATTTGTCTGCGTGCATGGCTGGAAATCTCTCTCTCTCTCTCTCTCTCTCTCATCCCATTGATGGAAGTATGCTCTCTCTATCTGTCTGCGTGCATGGCTGGAAAACTCTCTCTCTCTCTCATCCCATCGATGGAAGTATGCTCTCTCTATCTGTCTGCGTGCATGGCTGGAAACCTCTCTCTTTCTCTCTCTCTCTCTCTTATCCTATCGATGGAAGTAGCCTCTCTCTATCTGTCTGCGTGCATGGCTGGAAACTCTCTCTCTCTCTCTTCTCTCTCTCTCTCTCTGTATGTGACACACACACACGCGCGCCCAGGCAGGGCTGCTTCAACAGTTTCATGTGTGCATGAACTGAGCAGCCTTCGAATGTGCAAAATGAGGAGAGTATGGAGGAAGGGGCTGTGAGATGCAACCCATCCCGAATCCCCTCCCCCTCCTTCTCCCCCTCCTTCTCCCGCTCCTCCCACTCCTCCGCCAAACAACGTGACAAAGATCCTGCCATAGCCCTGCTCCCGCTCTTTCTCCCGTTCCTCCTCCCTCTCCTCCTCCCTCTCCTCCTCCCTCTCCTTCTTCCGCTCCCTCTCTTGCTGCTCCTCCCGCTCCTGCTGCTTGTCCTTCTTCCACTGCTTCTCCTGCTTTTCCCCCCATTCCTCGTCCCCCTCCGCCCGCTCCTCTTCCCGCACCATAGCCCCGCTCCCGCTCCTTCTCCCACACCTCCTCCCGCTCCTTCTTCGGCTCCTCCCCCTCCCCCCCCTCCTCCCGCTCCTCCGCCAAACAACGCGACAAACATCCCGCCATAGCCCCGCTCCCGCTCGTTCTCCTGCTGCTCCTCCCTCTCCTCCTCCCGCTCTCCCTCCTGCTGCTTCTCCTTCTCCCGCTGCTTCCCCTGCTCTTTCCCCGTTCCTCCTCCCACTCCTCCCGCTCGTCCTCGTGCTCCTGCTGCTTCTCCTCCACCTATATCTCCCCCCCTCCTCCGCGTCCTGTGCGTTCGTTAACCCCCTCTCCGTTTCCCCTCCCACTCCTTCTCCAGCTCCTCCTCCCGCAGCTCCTCTGCCCCTTCGCATCTCCCTTCCCGCTCCTTCTCCCGCACCTTCTCCCGCTCCTCCTCCCACTCCTCTGTCCGCTCCTTTTACCATCCCTCCTCCCGCTCCTCCCGCTCCCCCTGCTCCTCCCGCTCCTCCCGCTCCTCCCACTCCTCTCGCTCCTCCGCCAAACAATGTGACAAAGATCCTGCCATAGCCATCTCCTATGAAAAAAACAAAAGACAAATGGCCCGCCACATGGCTAGCCCAGAGAGAGAGAGAGAGAGAGAGAGAGAGAGCAACGCACCGGCCAACAGGCAATTCGATTTTGCTCATCCTATCGATGCAAATAGCATGAGGCCAGGCGCGGGGTTGGAGACTTTACCTGTTCGCCGGTGCGTCTCTCTCTCTCTCTCTGTGGTAGGTATATTTCCATGTCCTAGTGGAAGATTCATTCAATTTTGCTCATCTATTGATGCAAATAGCGTGAGGCCAGCCCAGGGGTCCAGACTTACCGTTCGGCGATGCGCATCTCATCCAATCTCTCTCTCTCTCTCTCTCTCTCACACACACACACACACGGCCTCCGTTGATGCCCGCAAAGCAACGCTCCGATCACGTAGTTCCCCCCTCCGACCATAACCCGCACCCCGCTACCGGCCCTCTGCTGCCCCGCACCCACGTAGTGCAAAAAACTCGACAGGCCCGTGCACGCACCACGTTTTCGCACTCGCACAGGACAGCGCCTGTGGTACCGCCGCGAAACGGCGCACCCTTGTTAACGACGCACCCTTATTCGCGTGCGGTACCACCGCCGACCGGCGCACCCTTATTCCCTTGCCCCAGGCCTCCACGAAACGCCGCGCCAGGTTTCCTTGCCCGAGTCCCGCGCGCCTCCGCACTGATTTTCGCTGGGCCCGGCAGGATGCGTCACGCTGGGCTCTTTGCTTGCTCTTTAAGAGTATAGAGAAGAGGAGAAGAGAAGATATATTTGGTAATTTTGCCGGGTATTTTATTTTTGTCTTTATTCTCATGTACTGGAGTGGTTATCCTTGAATATATATTGTCACGAACATGTGTCTGCTTCTCATTCAATGCTCAACAATGAAGGATTGAATGTATGCAATTCTGTGTATGTCCTGGTGTTTGTGTGTGTGTGTGTGTGTGTGACACATGATACGCATCTTTTTTTTTCATTAAAGCTGTGTTCATCCCCGGGCGGCTCAGCTGGGGGAAGGTTGCACGGGCACCCTCCCAGGCGGCCCAGACCGAGCAGGGTCCGGGCAGGGTCCCGGGCGATCCCAGCTGCAAGGAATATTAGTGAGAGCGATATACAGATAACCAAGTTGCAAACTCAGGCTGAAGTCCAGATAGTCATGTAACAAGCAGAAAGCTCAAATGCACCAAGATTCCATCCCAATAAGAGCGATAGAATGAACTCGTGGGCCAATGTCCAAGCCCGCAGGCCACACTAATGCAGTAGTCAATGTCGCTCCTACGATGATTATGATTATGATGATTATTTTAGTTTATGTTGGGTAAGGGTGGCGATCTTTACACATCGTCAGTGACCGTACCGGACCCAGGCAATACAAAACAGTTTGGCTTCACTCGTGAAGTTCCATAATCTAGAATCGAACTGGTCTATATTTTTTCTTTCTTTTTTTTTTTTCTTTTTCTTTTTTTTTTTGAAGTTGTGTTTGTACCTAGGCTACCAGCCGGGCTGCCCGGGTCCCGGGTGGCCAGCCTGTGCAAGGACCAGGGAAGGTCCAAGCAAGAAAAAAAAACAAAAACAAAATCCAAAAAATCCGAAAACAACTGTGTTATGCAGAAAAATGAACTGAAGAACTTTTGCCTCAGCGTCATATCGAAATTCTTCACCAAATTTAGAATAATATATGTGACAATATATTTTCTCTCTCTCTGCCTACGGTTTACCGGGCAGTTCTGTTTGTGACGATATATACATACATACATACAGCTCTGTTTGGTTTGACTATATATATATATTAAACAGTTTGTCACAGCCCCTCGTTTGTTGTCCTCTTCTCCCTCTCTGCCTACGGTTTACCGGGCAGTTCTATTTGACGATATATATGTATATATATCGTCAATATACAGGTCGAGCGGCAGTGGTCGGGGCCGTTACTAAGCGGCCATGCTGTGCCTCTAGTGCCAGCGGCGTGTCTGGAGTGTATTTTTTGGCTGTGACAGGCCTTTCTTTGTCTCGTGGATGTTTTGCTGGCTTGTGATGGGGTGTGAACCGACAGTCTGTAGAGTAGTCTACTTTGATTTTGGTTAAGGTAGATTATCATTTACAGTGTAATCAGTGAGGAGATTCTGCAGACTGTTGAGGGTTCAGCCTCCTGACGAGTCGGTGAAACTCCGACGAAACAATTTGTCACAGTCCCTCGTTTGTTGTCCTCTTCTCTCTCTCTGCCTACGGTTTATCGGGCAGTTCTGTTTGTGACGATATATACAGGGTAACCGGCGTTCGGGATGGGCCGGACGCCCGAACCCGAACGCCCGAACGTATGGGACCCCTTGGGGATGCGTTCGGCCGTTCGGGCCGAACGCCTACCCAAAATAAAAAAAAGAAAAAAGAAAAAAGAAAAAAAGTCATCAAAAAAATCCGAAAAAAAAATATTTTATGGAGACAAATAAACTAAACAAGATTTGGGTGAGCATTACATCCGAATTCCTTACCAAATTTGAAATAAAAATAAAATACGGGAAAAAATACTAATAATAAAAATAAATAAAAATAAAAAGAGAATTAAAATTAGTGAGTGCGCGAGCATGTTTTCGACACTGCCGTCTTTGGTGATTTTTCATTTTTTTTTGGCATAGCTAAATGCCCTGAAAATTTACAGATGTGTATTTCACATCATACAAAATCGACTAAAAAAGTTTCAAAAAATAATAAAATTGTTTAGACCCCGAACTAAAGTGAAAACAAAAGTAAAAAGTGAAAAAATATGTGGGCAAGCACGTTTTGACACCGCCAACTTTGACGATTTTTAATTCTTATTTGGCTTAGCCAAATGACTTGAAAATTTCCAGGCATGTACCTCACGTCCTAGAGAACTAGAGAACTCGTAAAAAAAAAAATCAGAAAAGAACAATTATATTTAGGCCCCGAAATATTTTTTGGCGGGGGCTGAACGCCGTTGGGTTCGGACCCTGTACGGGAGCCCGAACGCCCGTACGTACGGAGGTCTGCCCAGGGACCTCCGTACGTACGGGCTGCTGACCCTGTATCGATATATATATCGTCACAAACAGAACTRACCGGTAAACCGTAGGCATATATATATATATATAGGGTTACCTGACCGAACGTTCGGGGGCCCCCGGGCTGGCCCCCAACGTTCGGGCGTTCGGGGTCCTGTTCGGGGGCCGAACACCTCCAGGTTCGGCCCCCGCCAAAAAATATTTAGGGGCCTAAAAATAAGTGTTTTTTTCTGAATTGTTTTTTGTGAGTTCTCTATGATGTAACCTACACGCCTATAAATTTTGAAGCCATTCTGCTCAGCGAAAAAAACATTAAAAATCGTCAAAGATGGGGGTGTCAAAATGTGCTCGCCCACTCACTATTTTGTTTTTTTTCACTTTTAACTTTTTGTTTTCACTTTATTTCGGGGCCTAAAAATTTTTGTTATTTTTTGAAAACATTTTAACGAGTTATTGATTATGTAAACTACATATCTGTAAATTTTGAGGGCATTTGTTAATGCCAAAAAATAATTAAAAATCGGCAAAGATGGTGGTGTTGAAAAGGTGATGGCACACTCACTCATTTTAATTCTCTTTTTATTTTTTCTTATTTTTATCATAGTGTTTAGTTTCTGTATTTGATTTGTAATTCAAATTTGGTAAAGAATTTGGATGTAGTGCCCAGGCAAATGTTGTTTAGTTTATTTATCTTCATAACATAGTTTTTTTTCGGAATTTTTGGAAAACCTTCTTTTTTCTTTTTTTTYTTTTTTTTTTGTTCCGCGTTCGGCCTGAACGGCCGAACGCCTGCCGAAGGGGTCCCGTACGTTGGGCGTTCGGCCCGTCCCGAACGCCGGTAACCCTGTATATATGTATATATTTTTTGGCCTGGCGGTGATCCCGGGCCACTCTGGTAGCCTAGGTTTGTACACCATATATTGTTTAAATAGGATGATGCCGGGGACCTCATTTGTCTACCCCGAGGCACTGAGAGTATTGCTTTGCTTGGCTTTGGGCACACATGCCTTACTGAGAGCATTTATCAGCTTCGCTTACCATGCGCAAAATACCATATCTCAAATTGCCACTTACAAAACCCTGAAGTGCCAGCTGAAATGCCAGATAGGCTACAATGATAATGAATATCAAGGAAAAAGAAGGGGATGTAAGCACAGGGTATAGCTGAAAAATGCACATGCCAAAATATAGCCTGACCACGGCCCAGATCGACCGATTGCAACTTGTGTTTCAAGGGGAAGACATACTCTCTCCCTGTAGTCTCCCAACTGATTTACTGAATGCCTACTGGAACTCTAAATAAATAACCGATGAAAATAACCGAGAGACCAGGATACGACAGTAAAGCAACTTCGCCTCTAACCCAGATGGTAAGTTATCACGTCTTAGTTAGAAAAAAACAAGCAGTTTTCATCCAATTTTTTTTCTTTTTGTCTTTTTAATTCCTAAAGCAGCCTTCTCCTCATTGGGGGACAACACTATATTTTTCTATCACTCACATACTTGTGTACTGCCGTTCTGCCATGCACTGGAACATCTATCACTCAGTGGGGGCCCAGCACGGTAACTGTGCCTCCCTCTTCATCTTCCCCAACCCCCATCTACTAACAGTATTGTCAAGAGCCAACACTCTCCCACACTGACGCAACCCACACCCACGACTGTGTGACTCACACCCATGTCACAGGCGGCCACGGGGATTGAACCCGTGACCTCCTGAATGTGACTTGCATGCCGAACGTATTGAGCTAGGCAACTCGGTGTTGTCATCCAATTTTTTTATTTTTATTTTTGCCGATGATGATTTATGTTGTATGGTTTCTGTTTTTCTCTTGCTCGCCTTCTCACGCTATTACTGCATATAATCACATCCATTGATTAACATCCTGTGCTCGTGGTTGATAGTAGTGTGAGAAACCCTCAAAGCCTATGCACATGCTAACCATTAAGTTTATATGCTCGGTCATCTTCCTTTATCCCTCCCCTGTTATTCGCTCCCTACCCAACTGATATCCAAAGTCTTGATTCCAAATCACACTTGCGCCTTGGTGCCCATCACATTACAAATGGAATCAAACTTGTCTCCTGCGACATTCAGCACGTGCACAAAAAGATGACGATCACACTTGCGCCTTGGCGCCCACACAAAGCTCAGAGACAACGAGGCCAAAAACACAGTTCAGGTTCAAACTTGGCTCGATCGGCTATGGCCGAACACTGTACACTCATCAACTTGTTCGCACACACGCGACTCGGGATCTCCCTGGGTGTCCCGGACTCACACACACAACTGAACACACTCATACACACACTTAAACACACAAACTAACACCCTACTACTAAGCTATGCCTTCCTCTACTACTAACAACACCAG